CACCTCGGCCGCCCAGCTGCAGCCTGCAGAGACTGAGTGCAAAGAGGGCTATATCCTGAGAAAACTTTCCCACCAAGCTGGCCCAAGTTCCTGAGACTCCTGAAATGGAATCTACTTGAAAGGTATTCAGAGATTTTTCAAAGAATATTTCAAACCCTGGGATTAGGGGAAAGAAATTGGAGGAAGGATAAGAAATGCTGAACCTGCCTATCTGGACCTCTTGAAGAGTCTGAGAACCCACAGATCACAGGTGCAGGGAGTATAAGACATGGGATCCACGTGCCAACCCAGAGGCAAGGGGAGGAAATCAAGGTGTAGTGGATTGATTAGTGGCCTCCAAAAGATACAACCAAATCCTAACATCCAGTATCTGTGAAAGGGAACTTATTTGAAAACAAGGTCCATGCAGATGTAATTAAGGATCCTGAGATGAAATCATACTGGGTTTAAGGTGACATAAGAAACAGATTAGAATCAGTGATACAAGGAGAGCACCACGTAATAATATAGTCAGATACTAGGGTGATACCTCTGCAAGCCCAGGAGCAGCAGGGATTGCCAGAAACCACCAGAAACTAGGAGAGAGACATGGAATGGATTCTTCCCTCAGAGCCTTGGAAGACACCAACCCTGCTGACACTTTGATTCCAGGCTATGGCTTCTAGAACTGGGACAGAATAAAGCATTTTATGAAGCGTCCAGTTTTTATGAATTTGCTTTAGTGGTTGGAAGAAACAAATACATTAGGATCCAACAACAACCCCATTTTGGTATTTCAGTTCTCTGGTCATGTATGGAAGCATCTTTATTCATTCCAGGACAATGTTTCTTGTGAAAACTAAGCCATCTTGATGAACAGGAGAATCCCCATGGCAGTGCTCCCCCGATCCCCCACCAAAAATAAAACAAAGCAAGAACTTGAGGATCAGAGTCCTGATACAGGAGACCAAAGCAGAGTTTAAATCCTCCCAGCAGAATTCAAATCCATCTGTCCTGTGTATACGTAGGAGTGAGGGGGCTGGGAAGGGGGTTTAAGAAGGGGCTGATCATATATTTTCCATTGTAAATCTAGGGTTCTTGCGAGAGACCAAAATTTTTGCTTTCTGGAAGAAGAAAAATTATTCCCCTGAATATATTCCATAAGGTTGGAAGTGGTAGACATCAAACATGCCCCTGGCACTTCTTAAAAAGTCACAGAATGTCTCAACCTGATGATTCCTCAAGATTTTATTAATTTATAATATTGTATTCCTTCAAAATGATCTGCTTCTTATTATCTTGCTGCTCTGAATTGTATTCCCCTTATTATTCTCAGCCATAGGGGCCATAAATTAAAATCATTCAAAACTGATATTCTTACAGTTCATTATCTATGAGTGGTATTATCTTTCTGCCTTTCTCTGGCCCTTCTTTACCCCGACAAGAAATATTGCAATAGAGTCTAAATACCATCCAACCAATAAATGTTCCATTAAAAAATAAATAAAACAGTGACTACATTACCCTAAAAGGCACCCCATCACTCCTCCTCATTTCCACCACAAGCATGTTTTATGCCAATAGCAGAGAAACTGAGGCTCTAAAGATGGGGGAGTTCGGGTTGGAAGGTGGATCCTTCTTTGTCACTGTGCAGACGGGGCATGTCATTTTCTCTTCCTATGTCTTTGACCCTGTCCTTGAAGAGCAAGGGATGTGATAATATCAGCCTGTTTCATGAGGAACCTCCTACTTCAGGGTATAAGTAGTGATGTAATGAATTGACCCCAAAAGAGATGAGAGACTCATTACTGGACGTTCTCAGCCCCTCTGAGTGTCACTGCAAGAGGGGTCACTGCAATGGCTGGGAAGCTGGTCCCTCTGCTTCTATGACTGGTCCATGCTGTTTGAGCGTAGACCCCTTTATTAGGGCCCATTAAAAAAAATCTCTGTCAGTGGGAAGATTTCCCAGGTGACGCTGCTCCCTGAAGGGCGTGATGAGACAGGCCCGCTTAGGCACAGTGGCTTTTGCTGTGGTTGTTCACACCACTGTAATGCAGCAGACTATCACACAGTAAGAGCCACAACTTCAGAGAGAGAGAAGTTGACAATATTTTCTTTAAAAATGGATATCCCAGTCTTGACTGACTCACCTAATGGGAAAAGGTCTGCAGTCAGCACACGAACTGACCCTTGAGATGAAGCTTCATAAAAACATCAAGGCATCGATGTGTTTCCACACTAAGAAACACTGAGAACTGAACATTTATTTTTACCTCCCTTCCCTTCTCTCCTCCTTATTTTTCGGTGTAACACACATATGCTGGAGATCACAAGGTAGGAGACAGAGAAGAAGCAGGTCAGAGAGTGGCGATGCACAATTTATTGGCACCATTTTAAAAATTTAAAAAGTACCAACTTTCAAAGTTATAACACCTGACTCCACACAGTCTATGGAATTCCCAAGGAACATAATTGCCACTTGTCCTTTTCTCTTGATCTCACTGAACTGTGATCACTATCAATCCCTAGAATATAAATATTTTTTTTTAAATTCTACAATGGTCAAAAATATGTGTTTCTAGATGTTGGGTATTAGAATCCAAAGATATCCTTAGGGATAGCTGAATAGGAATGAATCTAGAAGGGAGTCCATGTCCACCGTACAAAAGCATAGCTAAGTCTCAGAATTACCTGAGAAACTTATTAAAATGTTTTTAAAAAGAATCATGGAAATTAAAATTTTCCATCAGATAGACAAAAATGACAAAGTCTAACAATACCAGTTATTGGTAAGAACATAAAGTCATGGTAAGAAACACTAATACATCAAGAGTATAAATCAGTGTGACCACTTTGCAAAATAGATTGGCATGACCTAGTGAAATGAATGAGTCACTGATTCTCTCACCCAGTAATTCCACTCTTAGTTGCATGCTCTAGAGAAACTGTTGGACATATGTGTGCACCAAGAGACATGTACAAAACCACTTACAACAGTGTTATTGGGTGATTACAAAAATCTGGAACCATCCAAATATCCAATAAGAGTAAAAGGTAGAAATTGCAGTAGTTTCATTCAATGGATTCAATCTGGTACTAAGACAATGAACCATAGCTGCAAGTATCAAAATGGACAAATCACAAAAGGACAGAATGATGCCATTTATATTAAAATGTTGCAAACATGTAAACCTAACCAAGGTGTTCACTATGGCTATATATACAAAGGTGGTTAGGCTGTAAAGAAAAACAAATGATATAATAACATAATGCAGGTAGTGATTAACTCTGAGGAAGGAGAGAAGACTGATCTAGGTGGGAGATAGGAGGCTACAAAGGGACTGATAGCATTCAAATGCCTACACTTGGTGGTGAGAACACAGGTGTTGGTTTTATTTTAATCTTTCATGTATGCATACATTTTAGACCTGAGTTTTTACACAAGCTGCAACTCATAATAAAATTTTAAAATGTGCAAATTCCTAGTTCCATTTCAAATCTATTGAATCAATATAGGTTATAGAGCCTGAGAAGTATTTTTTTTATCATTTCTTTAGAAGATTCTGATGCATTACTGGGTTAAGACCCAGTCTCCAACACACACACACACACACACACACACAATACACATCATCATCCAAGTTGAAAGAAGCTGAAAATATAAATCGACATTAAGCAATCTCAAGAGTCATAAAAAACAGGAAAGGTCAGCCCAGGAGAATGTGTAAAAGGAAAGGCGTCTCACAGTTCTGTTATCATGACAGAGTTCAGGGCTGATGTATGCTGTAAGCCTGAGAACATTAATTATTTGTGTGTCACCTCTACCAGCTCACCTGAGCCCCTCTCTGTTAACTCTCTGGTTATGTGAACCTGAAATAATCATCCTCAAGAATACGGCTTGAAGCAGGCTCTGGCCATAGCTTTTGCTACAAAGACAGAAACAATGTGGAGAAAATGCCCTTGTCTAGGACTCACCACAAACGCCATCTAGACCTGGACCCATAAGTCCAAATTGTGTGATGCTGGGCAGTTCCTCGGCTCCTCTGAGTCCTTGCTTTCTCATCTGCCCTTCTTCCCTCACAGCATTCAAATCCAGTGAGACAGTATAAATGCAAGTGCTTTGCAAATTGAAAGTGCTACTCTGAATGTGCAGTAAGCCTATTACCATTTCAGTTATTATTTCTGCCTAAAAAAACAAAAACAAAAAACAAATCAGAAACACAGGCTGTCAATTTGGGGTCAGTAGAGTTTTCTGTGTCCAAGGAACTAGGAGCCCTAAGGTTTGGCTTGAAGAGACCTGAAGGCTGGACATCCCTCTCTCAAAACTCCACAAAAGCATAACAAGGACCCAGCACTTATTCACAGCCTACCCTTTCAGTCCCTGATAAATTCAGAAGGGGATGCTCCTGAGCAGCTCGGAACTACTGGAAGCACCACGCAAAACAAGCATGCAGCTTGAATATTCATAATGGCTTCGAAAGGAGCATTTAACCCAGTTCCACAGTACCTTCCAAATTAAGAGAGCCTGATTTAGCAAATAAAAAATGCAGGACACCCAATCACATTTGAATTTTTTAGTATGATTGGAAGAACTCTTAGTATATGTATATTCTCACTATGGCATGAGATATACTTATGCTGAGCAATCGTTCATCATTCATCTGGAATTCAAATTTAACTGGGTGTCTTGTATTTTACCTGACAACCTCATTTCAAACAGACAAATAGATTAGCACTTTATCCTATATCTGACCTTAAGAAATATATGTGGAAGAGTTAGGAAATCCTATTTCTGTTCCTTAGTAAAATGGGAAAGGGTTGGACTGATCTTAAAATCAGAGTTTGATATTCTCTTCCTTGCATGGTCCAAGAAGCTGTGGAGAGACACAGATATTAAAAGTAGGTTTCAAGGGAAACAGGGCAGAGCAGGAGTGAGGAAGCCTCATCATTTCAAACAGAAATGGGCATCCCCTTCTGGCCCTGGCCCATCCAGGACACTTTTCAGTAGCTTCTACCCTTACCTCTGGGCATCTCTTTAGAAAACTCTGCCTCAGACCCGTCCATCAAGTCCACCTGGGAGGCCTCCTCTGAGGACACGCGGCGCCAGGACCAGCTTTGGTTCCCAAGGTCATGCAGTGGAGGAGAATATTCCAGCTCACAAGGGAAGTCAAAGCTGCACTCCAGACCTGCAATGAGAGCCAAGGGTCAGTGGAACAAACTCTTTCCCAAATGCGGCCCCTCCACACCAGGAAGCTGTCCACCTCTCATTCACAACCTTCACCTGTCTGGGGGAAGTCAGTTGTCAATTCCATAGGTGGCTGGACTCCATACTGGTAAGAGGGAGCTTAAGAGAAGAAAATGGGTCCTGTCTATAACTCATATGATGACAGGTGTCCAGAGAGAAGGCCGGCTAAAAAAAGAGCTAACTGTAGGTCAGTGAGAAGCTCTGACTGTAGAGAGATGATCCGTCCTAAGAGTTGTCCTCGAGCCTACCTGAGCAACCAGTTCTCTACGAATCTGACCCTGGCTCTGAGGTTTGCCAGCTGGTTGACTGCAGGCAAGAAAAATAAACTCTCTGGCCCTCAATTTTCTCCCTGCCCATTGGGAATGATAATGTTGACCTCCTAAGTTTGCATAAGAACTCGCAGTAAAATGTATCATCTACGTTCAGTTGGAGCTCAGAAGTCCTAGTCAGGCCACACCCATATGGAACTCAAGGTCTACCCACAGTGCTGCTTTGCCAGCCCTGTAATCCACTCTCAACCTCCCCACAGAGAAGAGACCAAGGCTGTGATGGGAACCAGGGTTTACTGTTATCTTGGAGAGAGGTCAGGGAAAGTCATTGGGTAAGGAGAGTCACAAGAGAGAAGGGCAGGAAGAGGGATGCTCTGGGACATTTATGATATTTTTGTGAGCATCCTTGTGTCCCAATCATTCCATGTTGGCCGCAATTTTAGAGCACACAGGCCACTCAGCTTCTCATTTCCCCCACTACTCAATGTCCATTATCCAAGATGGCTAATTCACTTTGCAGATAGTAGGCTCTCAAAGCTTGCTGATGGATTAGTAGAAGACGTGCCAAAATGCAAATCATTCAGCCACCTATTACTTTATTCTCTCCCCTCAGTCATAGTGTTATGAAAACAGGATGTGATAATAAAGGACAGAATATTAGATAAGGAATATGGGGAATTCAATTTCAGTCCAGGCTGAGCCAGTCACTTCTCAGGTGTAGACTTTGTTTTCCTCACCAGTAAAGTAGATGATTCTAGAAACAAGCACCTAGTGAAATCTGGGCTACATCTGAAGCTTTGCCAGTGATTTACTGGTCACCCTGAATAGCTCACTCAACTTCTCTGAGCTTTGAGGTCCTTAAATAGAAGATCTAGACCAGATGTTTTCTAAAGTTTCTTCTTGATTTTTTTTTTTTTTTAAAGATTCCGAAATCCTTGCTCTCCAAAGGGTTAGAGCTAATTTGATAAATCAATCTGTGTGGCAGTGCTAATGGGTGCTAACTCCCAATTAGCATGTGTGCTTTTTAACATCTGCTTTTGGGGCCACTACTTCCCCTATCTCCAAGATGTCTGGTGTTGAGAATTTCAGAATGCAGCAGAGAAATGGGGCTGACTCTAGTGCAGACAGCTGGTGACTGGATGATCCTTTAATCACATCCATAGACAGCAGGCCTTGCCCTGAAGTGGGAGTAAAATAATTCCCACTGACACCAACTAAACTACATTTAGAAGAAGAAAAAAAGCATCCTTTGTGGGCTGGGAATGCAGCTCAGTGGTAGGGCCTTTGCCTAGTATGTATCAGGCCCTGGGTTCAATCCCCAATACTGAAAAAAAAAAAAAAATCCTTCAATTACACTTCTATTAAGTATCTTTCTGCTTCTCATCCAGTGGTGATTCATGCTCCCCAGCTCCTCTCTAGGAGCTGCTGCCCTTCTGGTACTAAGGTTAACAGCACTCACACTCCCACCATCAGACAATCAACTTCATAAAGACAAGCTGAAATGGGTAGATCTCATCTGGGTTTGAGGCCACTTGCTGTCCAGATGCTTTATCTGCTTGGAGACTTCCTCCCTGACTCTGGAGCTGAGCTGCTGTTACACAGCTGGCCTCCAGAAATCACAGGTGGCTTTTATCTTCAGAACTTGCTCACCAGGACCCTGATTTTTGATAGCAGAATACAAGGGGAAAAAACGGTCCTGCATTTTCTATTTTGCAACACCAGAATGACTTTCAAAAAGAAAGGCATGGGTCCTCTGGAGAGGGCCAGAAAGCTTCATCCACACTAGTGCATGATCACATGAGAAGACGAGAGTGTTACCAGCTCCCCACCCATCCCACGTTGACAGTTATTGGTGCCTTTCTCAAAACTTCAATGTCTGCAACCACCTTCTATCTTGATTTGCCTCCTCCAATTAAAGATGAACTATTTCTATTTTGGACAGAGGTATGCTGGACCAAATCAGACATTGCCTGGCAAATGTGCCACATGGGCATATTAAACAGACAGACAACCGAATATCTGCTTCCAGCCCTGAGCATCAGCAATTCTTGGGTCTTTGAACTCTGGAGAGTCTGATAATTGGCTGTGCTTGGGCCAGGCTCTGCCTAGTGAAACAGACTATGCAAATGTCCTGATTATCAAATGAGTTTGTTTTGAAATTCTTGCTCCAAGGCAGCCTCCCTTTAGTTGTCAAAGCTGTAGTCTCTGGCTTTAAATAGGAATGAAGTTAACATTATTGTTCATTTTGGGTGAAATTGAATTCAGCTTTTCTACATTCTGATTTAATTTCTTATAAAACATTGAGATGCATGTTTTTCCGCCCCCTCTTTTAGTGCCTTTTGGGCAATAATTACTTGGGACCTGATTTCTATAATAATACCAGATTAAGCCTCTTTTCCTTGGGCCTTTTCTAAGGTTTTAGACCTGGGGTGCTTCTTGAATTCTTGTCTTTAACCCTTGTTGACTGGGCCTGGGAGTTAGGGACTGTAGAGTCTTTCTAGAGGGATCCAGGGCTTCAGTGAAGTGCTCAGCCTGAAGCAACCCAATATCAGAGGCAGGCCATGCCAAGTGAAGAGGTAGGGAATAACATTCATGGAGTCCCTAGTTTCCTCCATTCCTCCTCCGTGCCTTCAGAATCTCAAACCATGGCAGCTTCAGATTAAATTCAACAATGTATGAGAAACATGTGCAGTGTTTTCTTTCAGTGTTTCTTAGACCTCAAATCTGCAAACTTCTTTTATGCGCAAAGGCTTATCCATTACCCTTGGGGACAGATCTGAATGTTCTCAGTGTCAGGCCCATTTTGCAAAGTGACTGTGACCTTCAGAAGGATCCAGAGATATCGACCTTATGTTATACGCCTGTTTTGGTCTCATGGAATCTGACCACCGAAACACAGCTACAATAATGATGTGTCAAATAAAAATATATAAAAGAAAGAAAAAGACACTTTTCAGAAACCTGCGGACTACCTAGTTGAAATCACTGCTATTGACTTTGTCACTTCTATCGTGGAAGAAAGGTGAGTCGATGGAGCCTTCTGGAAATGGTTTGCCTGCTGAGAAGAGCACCAAGTGCCATGGTGGGAAGTGTCTGTAGTGGAGCAGAGGGTGGTTCCAGGTCTTGCACACAGCAGGTCTGTTATTTCCTCTACACCTGGATTTCGGCACTTCGAAACTGGAAGGAAAGGATCACCCAACCTCCCTGGTACCCACCATCTCAGAAAGCCACAGATACCCTTAGTCTCTTCCTGCAATGACCCAACAGAACCTACAGACATTGGTCCTAAGACTCTGCCTGCTGTCATTTCACACTCAAAGGGGACTTGATTTGTCTCCAGATTCTCAATGAATCTGGAAGAAAAACCCAAGCAGGTTTTACAGACGTCTGCCCCAGGATGAGGGTCTGAGTGTGTCTCTGGGCATGTGTGTGTATTCATTTTTATCGAAACTTTCCCAGATAAGAGTCACATTTAAAAACCTGAATTCATTAACAATTAGCTTGAGGCACTGTTTGCCGGTGAAACGTGGCCATTCAGGAGAACTTTATGGTAACTGATGAGAGGCATGATAGGGTGGCCCTGTCCAAAGATGCCTGGTCCCCTTATCAGAACCCCTTGGCTGGGGAGGAGTTGGCAGGGACCAGCTACTCTGAACACTCTTAACCTGAGGGTGGGAATCAGGTCTCTAGGAGGTATGAGGTTACCGATACCAAAGCCGCCTGGCCTGTGCCTGGAGAGCCAGTACCAGCTGCTCAGGCAGAAATGGGGCTTCCCAGCCATATCCACATGCCACGCCTGGACACTCAAGGGATAGGGGATAATTCTAGGTATTTTTTCATAATACCACAGAAGGGTCAGAGGGAGACTTAATGCACTTTGAACACTTGGCTCTGTCCTGGGGTGGGTTTAGAAAAATCCAACAATTCTTTGTATTGATTTTGTATTACTGACTTGACGCTCCCAGAAATGGCTCTTTATGCTCCCCAAGTCTCAATCTGCAAACCTAGTGTTCTCTTTATGCTCCCTTCAAGACCAGCCATCCTCCAGGTGACCACATGTGGCAGGGATTTTAAGGAGCAAAGGCCTCCATGAGCCCACTAAATGATGTCTTTTAGCCATGGCCCAACATAAGATTTGGAAGCAAATATTACAATCATATAAAAGAGACTATATATATATATATATATATATATATATATATATATATATATATATA